TTCCCGCTTTATATTTAGTGATTGAATATGAAATATCGATAAATTTAATTTATTGGGCAGAAATCGATAAAGAGTTTGTTTGTATCAGAAGTAGGAGTTTTTTCATTCTTAAACGCTAGAACCTAAATATTCGCGTACAATGCGATTTCAGAGGAATTTTCTCCTGCGAACGCTCAGGCTGTGAAATGAACTCTCTGCCGTGGTTTTCTCAAGAGACTAGAGTATGAAGTTCTGCAAAAATCGTGTTGTATAGTTTTTTCAAGATCGGCACATGACATCCCTTGTGTTACAGACGTTCACAGGCTATAGACGCTTCAGTGACCATTTACCATTACCATTTACCATTAGATAGATTGTACGTTTATTTGCCATTTTCGTAGTATAAAAAATACGAATTATACATAGTATATAAAAAGGTTTTTTTTTTTAATATTTTACAGTACAATAAACGATAAATAACAAGCAATGAAATGCTCGATAAAAAGAATTTATTTCTATATAAGACTGATTGACAGGCAATACCCAACCTACACTAATTCGTGTTTCAACCGTGAAGCAGTTGTGTTTGCATAGCTGTTTCGGTTTGAAGGATGGGATATGGCGTGAATTTACCGGGTACAGAGGAATAACACCCGAGTCCTCAGGAATGGCAACGCATGGGGGGTATCATGGGCGAAACAGTATACTCAGGCAACGGTTACCACTTTCCATCAGGTGGGCCGTCAGCTTGTTATTCTAAGTTGTATATAAAAATATTATATATATATATATATATATATATATATAATTTTTATATTTTTATATAATATATATATATATTGTAACTATTATATATAGTCACAATATCTATATACTGATCCAATAAAGAATTCGTTAAAAGTCTGTTATCCAAATAATAATATCGGACAACACATTTTTAATATATTCAAAAATAGATATCCGATCGATATGAGCGGTATCGAAATGGGCGCCATTTTTTCCGCCATCAGTGTCCAGACGGACTCGATATAAACACTCATAATAGACCTCAAAGTTATGAGTATATTTAATTTTAATTTCTTCATCACTAATCAACGATAATTTAATAACTTTACACAATTTTGACTCAATTATGTTAAGGTTTAAAATTCATAATATCGACAATCGATATCCAGACGACTATTACTCCTACCACTACAGTTCAGCTCTCTCGCTGCAGTGAGCGATGACAACCACTCAATCATCATGGCTCCCGTAACACTCTTGGGAGTCTCCGGCTGCGATCCCTGGAAAAGGCGAGTGAGCGATGACAACACTCAATCATCGAGGTACATCCCTATCCCGTCCATCTAGTAGACGAGAATTGAGTCGGGATAGTGTTTATCCTGAACCAATGACTGTCTGCTCTCGAATACGGTTAATATAGAGGAAATTTTATCGATTGCAGACCGTCATTTGCTATATAACCTAAACTATTATTTACAAGCCCTGAATAGACTTTGTCATATATTATTAGAAGTGATATTCTTTATAGGTCCTAACTTACATTGCTATTCTATATATAATATAAATATATATAATTTGACATGCTCCCTCATTCCATCAAGAGACTGTCGAATAAACCGTCTTTCAAAAGTACTATCGAGTCCTTTGAGCTTTTTTAAAATACTATCTATTATTCTCATGGTTGTGTATATTCATATATAGTATATATGTGTAAGTATATTTGTTATATATATATATATATATATATATATATATTATATATATATATATATATATATATATATATATATATATATATATATATATATGATAATTTTATTTTATTTATATTATTGTATATTATATATAATAAAGTTGTAAATTCACGAAATTATCAAAGTATAATTAATATTTTATACTGATTTCTCTAAACTTATGGTTGTTCTAATAGTCAAAAGATAAGTTTACAGAAGTACTAACTAGGAATCGACCCCATTCTGATGCAAAATTAGACTAAAAAGAAAGAGTTACTTTATACAGAACATTATATATATATATGTAAGATGAGTATTATATGTATGTTATTTTTTAATTACTCGGTCAATTATATTGTTCAATACGTTGCACAGTCAATTATATTTTTCGTAAACTGTAACCCACTATTTCACTCTTATGAATCAGTATATAAAATATTCTATGTTAAGTTAGGATACCTATACGTGTATGAAATTACATATAAATCTGTTCAGTGCTGTTTTTGCGTAAAATATTAACAAACATCCATCCATCCGTCACATAAAAGTCTTTAAAAAAATTTCACATTTATAATAGTAGTAGAATAAATATAAATAAATATTTATTCATGACACATGACATTTAGTTCCATTTAATTAATTGTCCTCTACTGTAACAAAAGCGTATACAAACCTTAAGCTGTAAAGAACAAAGCTTGAAGAAAGGAACAAATTACATAAAGTAGGTTGTGTTCAACTCATACATTTCTTAATTGCATTAGTCACGAGATTAAAGCAAGTATCCAATTAGAACTGGAAATGGACTGAACTACTTAAATAATTAAAAGCGGTCAAGCAGAAACGAAGAGGCGCGCGAACTGAAAACAATAAAATTACGTTCTTCTACAGATACAAAACAGTAACAGTATTCTGTTCAGCCTTACATTATATAGATACAGTGTCTCCATACAAAAGCTTCACCGACATACATTAAAGCTGAGTGGAGCCATTTCAGTGCATTTTTGGATGTAAAAATGATTATTTTATGTTTATTTTTAATTTTCATACAACATTATGTGTTAAATAGTTATTAGTGTTTTCTTTATAACATCTATATTTATTTTGTTTTATAATTTTTGCATCTTTTTAATGTTTCAAAATATATATATATATATATATATATATATATATATATATATATATATATATATATATATATATATATATATATATATATATATATATATATATATATATATATATATATATATATAGATTTTAATATTCATTTTATTTACTAAATAATTTATTACAGATATGTCAAGATACATTACATGCGTAAGTATATAGAACACTGATAAAAAAACGAGTCAGCTAATTTGATAAAAAAAATTGTTATTATATGTGTACGAAACTGTATAATGCAATCCCTAAAGAGTTTAAAGAATTAGGTCTTAATTGTTATTCTATATATATATAATATATAAAAATTATATAATACAAACCTTGTCGAAGTGGCTTTTTTTACAAAAGTGTTTCTACATTTGTGTATATGGTATAGAGAATTTATTGATTATTGATTATTGAGTCTTGCTATTGATTGATCAAATAAATATTTTTTTTAAAAAGCTGACGAAACAAAATATATATGTGATTTATAACGTTGTAAATGACTACATAACAATGAAAAAAAATCTACGATACATATGTGGAGATGGAAAAAATCGATTATATATATATATATATATATATATATATATATTAATTTTAAAATTTGTTATTTCATAATATCTATAGATGAAATTTCATCTAAATCCGTTCAGTGCTTTTTGCGTGAAATATTAACAAACATCCATCCATCCGTCACATAAACGTCTTCAAAAATTTTGTAAATGTAGTAATATCATTTTTATTGTGTGACATTTGTTCCATTTAATTAATTATAACAAAAGTGACTTGTTATGTATTTGTTCAACTCATACATTTCTTTTTTGTCACGAGATTAGTATCCAATTAGTGGAAATGGACTGTATTAATTTAGTCTGAAAACAATAAAATTACGTTCTTCTACAGATACCAAACAGTAACAGTATTCTGTTCAGCCTTACATTATATAGATACAGTGTCTCCATACAAAAGCTTCGAAAAAAGCGGATCAACTTTTTCATACAACATTATGTGTTAAATAGTTATTAGTGTTTTCTTTATAACATCTATATTTATTTTGTTTTATAATTTTTGCATCTTTTTAATGTGTAAAATTCATTTTATTTATTAAATAATTAAATACAAATACGTCAAGATACATTATGTGCGTAAGTATATAGAACACTGATAAAAAACGAGTCAGCTAATTTGATAGTTAGCTGACAAAAAGTTGACCCATTTTTGCGACTCGATGCTCTATCTATATAATCTAAGTATTCAGTATTTTTACTAAATCATAAACTTTGTAAGAAATTAAACAATTAAAGTTTAATGAACTTAGTATATTTGTCGTATATGACTTAGTATATGACAATTGTTTCAGCATCTGAAAGCCTTCTTTGGAGTGAGGACGGTATTTACATTACAGCATCTCGCCTCACACTAAATTATAAACCAATAATGACTGAGTGAATTAATAACCAGCTTATGTTTTTTGTCTAAATACTTTTTCATAACAATTATTAAGTATGTGAATTTTTTTAACGGCTGCTTGACTTGTTAAAATGACAAGAGATAATATAACTTTATATATATACTTTCAAATTTATAATAATAATAAATAAATATCTACATTTGAAATTGGAATTGCAAAATATAAATTGATTAACCGGAAAAAGGTGCATTCGAATTAGGGATTTGAAATTGGAAATTTAATAATTCTTACATAACATAATAGCTACTATTCTTAATCCATTTAGAATAAATAATTATTTTCACCCTAGACATTACGTATGTACCATTAAGCAGTTAAATTATTGAAATGTTAAAAGCACAAATAAGCGGATATTATCCGAAAACCGAAAAGTTAATCGAAAATATATATATATTTTTTTTAATATTTTAATGTATCTGGCAATCTTAAATTCTTAATAGATTAAAAAATACCTTTCGACCACTCGAGCGAGCTGATAGAATTCAAATCCATATTTCTCTGCTAAGCAAGCCGACCGTGTTTCCACACACTCGAAATGTTTTTTTTTTCTTTTTCTGTAATAAAACTTTTTGACATATAGACATTAGATGTAGGAAACAAAGACACTTGATAATTTAACTAATCTGTTACTAATGTTTCTTTATTATTTTGCAATTTTGCAGATACAAGGAAAGCCGGTCATCCAACAACGAATTTTACCAAGTCCCGTGGTGTCCATCGACGTGCCTCACAGTCAAGACCGAAGCACGGTCCCGCCAATAGACGAGAATAGCAACATCATATTCAGTCCGTGGAAGGCGTTTGGACCCTTCGTTGACACAATACAGGTACACTACTAGTATGTCAGTAGCGCCATCTAGTATTAACAGTTTCTAAGCTGTCTTTTTTTACACGAACAATGGCATAATGAAAAATATACAAATGGCGTTTTTAATGATTCATATATTAATTTGAAGATTCAGGGTAAACCGTAAAAAAACTTTCAGAAAAATTAATATTTCATTTTAGTATCCCTAAAACGCAGTCTAACGTTGTCCGATTGATCGATCATATCCTCAGATAAAATTATACATACTAGCTTTTTGACTGCATATGCATACATTTCAGAAATAGGAAATGTAATGAAATAGATTATTTCTAGATGGCTTATCAAGATAAAATATACAGCAGTTTCTAAAAAACACAACTGTAAAAAAATCACAAATATAATTTCACACAGTAATTTTTGCTTGATACCAAAATTAACACGCAATCTGTCAATATTTCTTTAAATTATTGTATTGACTTCTATTTCTCGTATTAAGATCTCTCAAATATTTTTTTCTTAAATATCTCCTATTTACGAACATCGTTTAGTTACAATTTTATTATATTAATAACATTTTTTAAAAATATATTCATTTACAAAATATTTTCTAGACTTTATTTTATTTTATTACATTTACACTTTATTGCACTGTTTATAAAAATAATAAATACAGTTACTTTTAATGAGAAATGATACAAAAGACGTCCTTATCGTTAAGCAATCATTTCCAGACAACCTATGGATAAAGGACATTGAAAAAAAAGACAAAGAGTAGGTGGCACACTATTATATGGATATATATATATATATATATAAATATATGTATATATATATATATATATATATATATATATATATATATATATATATATATATATATATATATATATATATATATATTATTTTTAGAACTATACATGAGAGATTATTATATTGGATTGCCAGCAACCCTGAATGAAAAAAAAAGGAAGAGAGAATATAGAAAAATAGTACTAAAGAAAGAAAGTAGGATTCAACAGAGATTTTGAATCTAACGAGAAATGGAGACTTCGTTATCTATTTATAAAAAAAATCCATGATATACGATCAAATACTAAAACGCGATACTGGAATTGAGCGCATACCATCAAATTGTGCACTAATTTCTAACTAGCCAGCTGAGTTTCTTATATCGATGTGGGTAATATTTTTTCTCTTAATGTGTGTGGATTTACTACAAAAATAAGTTACTTTCTTGTTTTTCAAACACTATTTAATAATAGACTGTTCAACAAAACGAAATTTATGAACATTGTTTAGTTACTATAATAAATTTTATTACTGTTAAAACCTTTTATTAAAACACTTTGTTTAGACTTAAACAGATGCTAGATATGGTTTTTTAGTATACGTTTAAACATATAGATACTTAACATCTGTCTATCACAAGCTTAACTTTTTTATGGTAATACCAATAAAAGACTCGAAGTTTTATATTTCAGTAAGCATATTCATAAATACAATGTATTTATGAATATTTCATACACAAAAAAAAGTATTCTTTTTGACTCATGTTTTTGGACTGATTCTCGTAAAAACAAACTGTTCAAATATCGTAGAAGTTGAAAACTCGTTCGATCGAAGTCCTATGCAAAGTTTGTATTGACATATTACATATCAAACGCGAAACAAAAAAGTATTTTTATTTGTATTTCTGTATACTATATTAGCTTCTTTTACATTGTAAAATCGTTGTTGTATCAGTCGTTTACAGTCCACTGGTGAACATAGCCTTCCTCATAATGAAGATTTTGCCAGTAGTTGCCACGTTTGACAGGCAGTTTGGCGACCGCAGTTTGGCTTTTGGTAATGTTTAAAGAGAGACGTTGCTGCCCACCCCTTTACCATAAACTCCCTTTGTCACCTCTTATGATACCCACGAAAAAGAAAGGACCTATTCTACGCAGAGACCTGAACGACGATATTGTAAAATATGTATATGGTATTATTAACTATTAATAAATTATGTATAATATTAGTGATATTCAATAGAGAAATAATTCAATGGCACACATCTAAATGACTCAAAAAAGTTCAAAATTGGACTTATTTATTTTATAAAAATCGAATAATTTTCAACGATCGAGTCGCTACACTACAATGTCTATATTCACTGGTGAAATGTTGTTATATTTCTGTGTGTTCACTTATGTAATATTATGTCTTAACGTGTTCATTGATGTAATATTACACCTTAACATATTCACTGGCACTGTTTTACATTTACATCTTAACATATTAAGTGATGTAATATTGTATCTTAATATATTTACTGACACAATGTTACACGTTAACGTGTTCACTAATACAGTATTACATCTTAACGTGTTCAATGATGTAATATTACTCCTTAACCTATTCACTGACACTATTTTACATCTTAAAATATTTAGTGATGTAATATTGTATGTTAATGTATTTACACTTTAACGTGTTCACTAATACAGTGTTACATCTTAATAAATTCAGTGACGTAATATTGTATCTTAATATATTTACTGACACAATATAACACGTTAACGTGTTCACTGATGATCTCAGTTTATTTACCACATGTAGATCCAGAAAAAAAAACTCTCCATTTTTAATCCACAAATGGATCAATACATGGTTTTCTCTTCACATTGATTGTTACACGCAATTTACTATCCAAACAAATAATGTAATCTTATTATTAAGTAATTTACTTACTTGTATGTAATACTCGTTTTTAAGTTTCACATTCTACGTATTGTTCTTTATAAATTTAAGTTCTATTACATCTATGATCCATCCCTTAGAATATATACCTATAGATATAGTAATTTTAGATAGAAATTCAATAATTAAACACAAATATATTAAGTTATAATTATGAAGTGTTCGTACAATCGTTACTGCTGATTCTTGGCTATCACGAATCCCTCCCAATCAAGATTTTCTCAGAACAATGTTATTCTCTAATTGGTGGGCGACGTTGATTAATGTTGCTCAGCTTACGAAGTTTCCTCCCCAAATCATTTCGGTGTCGTGAACATATTCATTATTTATTGGTTAGCTTTGCGGTTACGGCGCATTTTATGGTGTAGCAAAAGTTGTTACTATATACAGTGGTATATATACAAGCGACATTCCATTTATGTGTATAAAACATGGCGCTGAATTTATTTTGTTCGTACATTACTTGGGTGAGGGTGCGCGAAGCATCAAATGTCAAAGCTTTCATATAGGCCGGTAGAGATATACGTGTACTTAATGGTAAATGATATTTTAAAGGAGCAAATTGCTTTTTTTACGCAACTTAGAATGGCAAATAAACTGACAGCCCACCTGATGGAAAGTGGTAACCGTCGTCTATAGACATGAGCAGTACCATGGGCATAACTATTAAATAGCTATGAAGATAGTTATTTCTCTATTAAAATTAAAATATTAAATAAAAATTTATGTGACACCTACAGGCAAAGCCTATATTCAGCAGTGGACAGTTAACAACCGATGATGATGATGATGATAATGATGAAATAAAAATTGTATTCTATTCTAATAATTGAAATTTCGTCCATATAGTCCTTGGATGACGTTATATATCCAATCATTGCTTGAACAAAGTATATAAAAAAATATTAAAAATTAGATAAAAAATTCTTTATATTATGCTGACATTATAAGTGACGTGACAGTTATTATCTTCCATAAAGTGAGATGTTAACTTGTTTGCTATTCAAAGTATTATAAAAAAATATTCTGGAATTATCTTCATAATTTTTCCAGCTTTCAGCTATCTAGTTGTTTTTCCATACACAAGATAAAAAGATTTTCCAAAAATATCTGCCGAAACGCCTACAACTCATTTGTGCCTAATATATTTCGTTTACTCAACAGGACGGTGAATTGTTACCGAGTCAAGACACATTGTTACTACCAACACCTAGAAATCAAGAGAGTTCATTAGACGAAGACGCCACGGATCCAATGCCTACTGCGGAAACGTCTAATAAGGTGAATAACATATAAATAAAGTCAAATTCTTGTAACTCATTATGAATTCTAAAACCTGTCATTTTTACAGTATAAATAAAGCTACCCTGTAATTTGGTATTAAAACAATACAGGCTAGTTTGTAGTTACGTGACCTAGGCCGGTCAGGTTTCTAAAAATTTCTAATCAGCACTCTGGTATAATTTGATGCTTAGATTATATAGATAGAGTGTCTCCATACAAATGCTTCGAGAAAAGCGGGTCAACTTTTTCTTTTTTTTTATACAACTTCGAAAGACAAACAAGCTAACGGTTAACCAAATGGAGATTTAAAAAAAAAAACATAAATTTTTGTGTAATAAATATTTAAGAGTGATTCCTTTACAACTTCTATATTTAGTTTGTTTTAATAATTAACGGGACAACTTTTTGTCAGCTACCTGTCAAATTAGCTAACAAAAAGTTGACCAGTTTTTGAGAGTTGATACTCTATATAGATTAAATAATACAGATTAAATAATATAGATTTAATAATACCTCAAAAGGATAATTATTAGCTTAAGCTAATAGTACCAATATTTTTCTGCAGAGTTTAATTTGTGGAGCACTTTAATCGTACTACTTCACTTTCTTGACCCATTTTTTCTTCCAACAGGAATGAGCCTCTTTAAATTTTAAACTACTAGACACTCAGGTTGTTGACCCATTTTTTCTTCCAGGTTTCTTCAGGTCGGCAAATGTAATGCCTCTTTATTGATTTGAAATTACCATCAGGTGGGCCGTATGCTTTTTTTTTAATTTAATGTATATTTAGTAGTATAATAATAATTTTTTATTATATTAGTTAATCGAATTAAAGGTAGCCCAGACTCCTGAACTAGCTTTAATTATATATCCATTGTATAGCCAGTGCTCCAATTTATTACAGGTGAATAGTAATTCAATTTGTTGCAGGTGGCCTCAATAAGCCAGCTCTCATTCATGGTTAGGCCAGACAGCTTCGAGAGAGGCCAGCTCCGTCTGACCTGCATCTCGACTGTGCACAGCGTGTACAGCGAGCAGGCAGAGCTCGTCATCAACGAGGAACGACCTCAGATAGCTTCGGTGCTTGGCACGAGGGACCGAGCTGGGGGTAAGTTTAATAATGATGTTATTAAAACTTAATGAACATTACAATAAGAATTTTATATTATATCCGATATTTTGTTTTATTAAACATCTTACATTTACACATTTCAATTTACACTTAATTTGAATAAGAGATATTTTAATTAACCTAAAAATAAACATTTGGTAACTAACGCAATTCTAAGGTCTAGCTATAAAATATACTTTAAGAGAGTAGGAGGACAGATTAATAAAGTGTGTAATCGTAACAATGGAGGGAAGGGGGGATATCTTTCTAAAGCTTCGTTTTGTCACTTGTAGAGGGAAACTTCTGTTTCCCCTTACAAGAGTATGAGATACTATATGTATAAGATGTGTATACACATGTAACAATATAGATACTACACTTTAATGTTGGCATTAGTTATCTCTTTCTAAAGGAAAGAGAAATTTTGCGACTACCAACATTTAGAGATATTACTATTATTATCAGTACAGGTTCTATGGCCTTCCATATTAGACATCATTCTAATTCGCAGTCTGAACGTTCAATACTAAGCTTCGAGCAGCGGTCTATTAATTTGCCAGAAGGCGCCTCGTTTAGAGATGATACACATGTCGCAACGTGTGCTGAGACTGAATAATGATAGGGATTGATAATTAATATGAAAGGGAGGGGGAGAAGGGACTGTTAGTAATGGGAATTAGCATCCCCATTGCTATTAAAAAGCCCTATCGGGTCAACCTCCTCGCGGTTCCCCTTGGAAACTATCGTGATTAATTTATTGTTGAATTTGTCACGATTGGACGACTGACCTGCTTCATCTTCACCTATCATCCCTTACTGGTGCTCCGCCAGCGTATACCGATAGCGCAGGCGGGGTAACCATTCCAATATCACCCCTTAAAAAAAACTAATATGAAAGATCATAAATCAATCTTCAAATGTTGACATTCGCACGCATACTAATGGTAGGAGAATTAAACAAAATAATTATTTTTAATAAATCATTTTTTAAAAGAGATAATCTGTATCTAGACAGTATTTCAACTTACTACGTGTGGGACCTTATTACGACGTATTATGGCCAACGTTTTATATCCAGCAATCAGATCTAACGATTCAGCTTCTGTACGTGCTATATCCTATTCAGATTCTACATTTAAGCCTTGTAATGTCTATATTCATGGGTTCATCATTTCGTGTAACGTGTATGACGTATATATCTTTAGTGTACTTCGTATTTATCAATAATAAACAACGTTAGTCTCAATCAGACCATCTGATAAGCTAAGAGAATTATGGAAAAAGTTGAATTACCTATACGTATTAAGGTGTAGGTGAACAGTTTACTAAATATCATTTTATTGTGTAGTCAATTTTGTATTCAATAAGATATGTTTATTTATTTATTTAAGCTTTAATGTGCATATATATATTATAATATTATAATACATAAATAAATATATAATACATGGTAATTATCAAAAATTAGTAATGTCTTAGAACAGTATTTCAATAGAAATGTCTAGTATCTTTTTAAGGCGGTATTCTACTTAGTTTTACCAATCGAACTAAACACTTTACTCGAAGTAACATGGATTAAAAAAGTTAAAAAATTCTAAAACTTTACATATGAACTCAATAACTACAGTTAATAACAGAGGCTAAAATTCTTTTCTTGTTTTTCAACTCATGTTTCCTCGGGAGAAAATGTTCAGTGTCACTTGAAGAACTTTTTAAAGAATGTTATTTTCATTTTATCCTGTCTAATATCAAATTTCTATGACATTATCCTGTAAAGGATAAACTGATAGACATTTCCTTGTATGTATAAAAGAGGATGCTAATTGACTGCCCCATATACGAGTACATACGACCCATATATGCGTAGGCAAAACTACTAAATCTAGAATCTTGAAATTTTACAGATAGATTATATAAAGAATATAGCATAGTTGAATAATAAAAAAGGATTTTTAAAAAGTCAACCTCTAAATGTGTACAACTTTGTAAAATCCACGCGTACAAAGTCGCGACCAAAAGCTAGATAATTCATATTTTCATTGTGATTTTTAAAGAAAGTTATAAAACTGTATAAAGCGGTAGAGATTTTATTTTAAGGGCCTTCGTCTTACTTGAATATATCAGCCCTATCATACTCTAAACTGATTTCTATAATAAAGTTTTACCTACTTGTCACTCCATACATACGTTACGCCTCACAAAGATATTGACAAAAATGTCTCCTAAAATATTTAAATTTAATGTATTTACAGGGTACAAAGGAATAACACCTGAGTCCTCAGGAATAGCAACGCATGGGGGGTATCATGGGCGAAACAGTATACTCTGTTGTGTTGTTGTTGTGTGTAATATAGTTTTTAGGTAAAAAAAATGCTTTTGTCACAATTGAAATCGGTTTTTTTTTTATGGGACACAAGCTTTAATTATTTATAATTAATATTTTGATAATTTCAAAAATATCAAAATACTTTTAAAAATTGGTTTAAAAAAATTATACTCGTTTTACTTTACTTCCTTGTTAGTTACATTTTATTTTTCACGATTCAGAACGCTATTTTTAGCAAAACAAATTTTTGTTATTGTGTACCAATTATTAAATGTATAATCCTATTTAAGAGTTATTTCCTTTTGAGCCACGGATCTTAGAGATCCGTAACTCAAAAGGAAAGGAAAAACGGAATCCTTATAGGATCACTTTGTTGTCCGCTTATCAAGAACATTTTTATCAGGAACGTGTGAAGATATCGAGCTGCAATTAATATCCAATACTCAAATCTTCAATCCCTTAAAGCTATGGAAAAATCAAACTTCTACTAAGTCAATGCAGTCAAATGATGCAGCCATTTATAGTGTATATTTTGACATTTGCAAGGGATTTAAAACCTATAGAGTACTTCCCATTGCCTACAATCATGAAATTCAGCAAGAAGCAATGCCATGCAGCAGTTGAGTTAAAAATCCGAAAACCATACTTACGTAATTTGCACTTGCATCCCAAAAATATTTTTTTGCAAAATTGTAATTTATACGGAACCCTCAGTGCGCGAGACCGACTCGCACTTGACCGATTTTTTCTTTTTCTTCGCAGTAAAGTTTCCATTAGTAAAACAATGTTCTACTCCTGATAAATCTTCTATCGGTGAAACAGTCTTCTTCCGTGGTGGTCACTAGTTATAAATTCCATAATCCATTAATCGCATTAACTGCCGAGCCCACTTTGTGCATTAAAGGCTTAACTGGCGAGCCGTTTTGAATGAAAATTGACTGCGGAAGTTTTTGAAGCAGTTTTGTATACGTACCTACCTACCTTGTATTATTATAGTTTGTAAGGTATTCTCGTCTTCAAACGAAGAACGTTTAGTCCACTGACAAATCTATGTTTGTATAAGACATAGCATAGTATTTTTGAGGTTCTCAATGATGATTTTTTTGTGTTTGTTATCTCAAAATGACGGAGTCATTTATAATCAAATTAGAAAAATCCTTTTTTTTATCTTAAATACTACACTTTTGGACTAATTCAGTAGAATTTTTATCAAAATCGGCTCCATGGTTTAGTATTTAAATAAAAATAATTACTTTGCCATGAACGAAGACGGTTTGTTTTGAGACTTTATACAAAAGTCGATTGCTTGAATACCTCTGTCCCATTCGTATTTTAACTGTAAAACAGTTGTGTTTACGTAGCTGCGTTTCGGTTTGAAGGGTTAAATATGGCGTGAATTTACAGGGTACAGAAGAATAACATCTGAGTCCTCAGGAATAGCAACGCATGAGGGATATCATGGGCGAAAGAGTATATTCTGTTATGTCCATGGTACTGCTCATATCTATAGGCGACGGTTACATCTTTCCATCAGGTGGGCCGTCATCTTGTTTGCCATTATAAGTTGTATAAAAAAAGCATGATACCTTTGTATTACTTATATAAATATATGTAAATACACACTCAGTCAATGTATATACATGAGACATAAACTTGTTTATCTCTCTTGTAATAAAAACCAGTCCAAAAGAAAAAAAAAAAGAAAATAGAATCGTGTCAAAACACATCGATAAAACAACTAGTCGTCTTACCACGAAAAAGTTAAAATTGCCAAAAACATTGGGATTCTTTGTGTCAACAGTCCCAATACGTTCAGGTTCCGAAGTCACCTGGAGGAAAAAATAAAGCTGGCGTCCAAGAAGCTCGGAGTTCTAAATAAAGCGAAGCAATACTTTGCCCCAGGACAGAGACTAATTTTATATAAGTCATAAGTCTGACCCCATATGGAATATTGTTCTCACTTGTTAACGGGAGCTTCTGGATATCAGCTTAGTCCTCTTGATTTAGCCCAAATGAATGCTATGAGAAATGTCGACGATCTCGGGTTATTAGGCAGCATAGAGTCCCTAATTTAAGCCGAGACTTTACTTCTCTTTGCATCTTCTACCGCCTGTATAACGGATCGCGTTCTGAAGAACTGTTCGATATGATGCCTACAGCCAGTTTTCACCATCGCACCGCCTGCCATTAGCGTGGATTCTATCCTCACACCTTAGAACCAGAATGGTGATGCACAGTGCGGTTTCGGAGCTTCCTCCCGTGAATACTCAGGTCGTGGATCTTCCTGCCGAGGCTTTGTTCTTGGAGTCCATGGAGTTCTTCAAAAAGGACGTATTAAAGATTCTTGGGAGTCGACAACGCGCACGTATTACCTGGTGTTACAGACGTTCATAGGCTACAGTAACTCAGTTTACCATAAAATAAGCCGTAAGCTTGTTTGCCACCAAAGTAGTACAAAAATCTTACCTTATGAGGAAGGCCTATATCCAGCAGTGAGCAATTAACGGCTGATATATTAATTAAAAAAAAAAACTCTAATCCATCAAACTTAAATAATGTAGGCTAAATATGAATCTAAAAAAATAACACGGCAAAATTCTCAAGCGATACAGTCTATTTGAAATTCACTTACCTCAAAGGTGACTTCGCAAATGCCAGTTACAAGCGCGCC